GGTCCAAGTTGCAGATTGCTAACCGCGCTGAACTTGCGGGGGAATGTTAGACTAAGTCGGCTAGTCTAGTTTATATTTTTAATATTGTCTAGGGTCCAAAGTGTAATTAGTTTTACCTATATAACTACTTCTCTAAAAGTGTATCAGATCATTATTATTTGATTCAATACAATCGATATCAATTCTGATTGATATGTATTTGTGAGTGGTAAACTTGAGGAGATTTGGTCTTGTTGCACCAAAATTACTTTCTTTCTAATTTTCAAAGTGGACACTAATGTTGGGAAGGTTTTTGAAACTCAACAATGTGTTTCATCAATGATTTTTTAGTGGAAGTTGAAAGTTCAGGTTCTGATAACATTAAGTAATGGGTCAAGCTGATGGATCCCGAAGCACAACAGGTTCCCAGTACTAAGGGAACTTTATCTTAATTATGACGATTGACAACAGTTGAGTGCTAAAGCTTCGCTGTTGATTTACATCAAGACATGTGAAAGATTTTATGTATAGGCTTGAGAATCTACAGGAGCTGTGACATGAAGATTTTCAGCTGTGCTGAGATTTAAGGATCCTCTATATATAACGAGGCTGTCAGGGAACATAGAACAGGGAACAAAGCTAATAAAAAGCTTGTAACTATCCCATGTATATAGAAGACCTTGATAACTTGGTGATCCATGGGGGAAGGAAAGTAAGATATTGTTATTAATTTCTGAGGGACTGATGTAAGGCAACTTTGAGAGAGGTTTTGGTTACAGGCTCAGACGTGAAATAATTGAGTATGGATTATTGATGGGAGTTTATGCATGTTCAAGCATGTACCAATCTACTTAGTAATGCCTATGGATAGATCTGGAGAAAAAAATGTAGTTATATATATATATATATATATATACAGTACGGCTGGATCACCTCCTTTTTAGGGAGAGCTAATGCTTGTTGGGTATTTTGGTTTGACACTGCTTCACACCCAAAAAGAAGGGAGCTATATAAAAAAAATGCTATAAATATTCCGAAAGAGGCTATATTAGTCCCCATGTTCCTCGAATGGATCTCTTAGTTGTTGAGAAGGTTGCCTATATATATATATATATAAAAGTCCAATTGTTTGACATTCTTGTTTTTTTACCTGTGCACATACTACCCAGAACATTTTAAAATTTTATGTTAGGTCGGTGCTTAGCCAGTGTTTGTTTTTATTGGACAGAATGCTCCACTGACTGAGCAACAACAAGCAGCAATATTAGCACTCTCTCATGTGGTTGTGGAGCGACCATTTCCTTCAAAATTAGTGAGTTTTTGCTTATACATAATATTTACTTGGCCATATAGTGTGATGGATAGTTGGTTGATATTTTAATCAGTAATATGCTTTATAGTCTCAGGAAAAAAATATTTCCAGAGACAATAATGGTTTATCTATTACAACAAAGCACGACACTGTGGAAGAATCTGGGGAAATAGATGGTGTTTTGGTCAATACAAACCAGGTATGATACAGATCTTAGCCTGATTATTCTTAATTTATGTTCTTAATAGCAGAATCCCCTTAGCCAAAAAATTGATTAATTTAGTGTGTTATATGAATACTCTTCCTAATGCAACTTCCTGCACTTCTATTTTATGCTTACTTGGTATAATACTGAAAAATTAATGCGACTGATAACTATGGATGGTGCTTTAGGATCTTTACATAGGTCTAAAGTGGATCCACAAATCCGATATTTGAGGAACAAAGAAGAGTAAAAATTAATTACTTTCACTGTGCTTGGGAGTAAAAATGAAAACTAAAGTGACCGATGATTATGAATCGAGCTATGGGAGCTTACATATATCTAAGTGGATTAGTCCATAATTCAGATATTTGAGGAAGAAAGAAGAGTACAAATTAGTTTTCTATTATGGTTATACGAGTAAGACGAGGGACAAGAAAACTAGTGGAGGCATATTCAATGACAGAACAACATATGACATGGAAAGATGGCAGTGCCACCCAATTATGATAATTTCAAAAATATCAATAGCATTGTGGGGAAGGTTCTTGTGCAATGTGTGAAGTCCATATTTTATACAAATCTTGATCAGATCTTCATAAAAGCTCAAGAACAAAGATGAATGAATAAGAATGTAAGATAGATTGGAGAGAGAGAATTACTTGGTTGTCAAATCACTCTTTTTGAATTATGATGTAATCAAAGTGTGTAATTACAATTACAAAGGAAAGACTATTTATACTAAGGAAAATAAAACTAAACTAATTACAATTAAGCTAAGCAAATGGAGAAACTTGAATACAACATTTTA